ACACGAGATGAAAGACTCAAAGAAGATAAACTTACAATGATTTCTAATATTTGTAATTTATTTTTGTAGCAGTGCAGAGTTGACATAGCAGCGGATAAAAATGTTACTATTGATGAATTAGTCCCATATCCCGCTAAATAGGGGATAAAAAAATTAGGATAACTATTGACGGTTTAGTGTTTGTTGGACGACGACAAATAAGGTGAAAGTGTTTAGAAAAATTTAAGATTTGAAGTTGTGAAGTCACTAGTTGATACCATACATTCTTCTGGACTAAATCTGACAGTGGATATATTTTTACTAGCATGCCACTTTGCGAATACTTATTGAAGAAACAAATTACAATTGTTGGTACTCTTGTTGGAACGTATACCCAAAACGCTATCGTAACCAAGCTACAAGCATTTGAAATTTTGAATAAGTAGTAGTAGACCATTTAAAAAGAAACAGCTTTATTGAAGTAGTTGTTCAAAATGTCCACCTACTTGCTGTATACATAGTCTAGCTCTTCTTAGAATTTAAGTGGTAGCCCTGCTAACAGTCTCAGGATCAGCACGAATAGTTTCTGCAGCATCCATAATTCTAGCTACTTGTTGTTCTCTGTTTTCAATATTTTCTACATAAACTAAACTTTTCACACTTCCACATAAAAAGTAATCTAAGGGATTAAAGTCTGGTGAGCTTGCTGGCCAAGGAACTGATGAACCTCTTCCAATCCACCGGTTTGTATAATTTTGATTAAGAAATTCTGTTACTTGTCGACCAAAATGTGGAGGTGCGTCGTCGTGCTGAATCCACATTCGTTGTCTTACATCAAGAGAAACAACATCCAGTAATATTGGAAGATCATTTTTAATGAAACGTAATTTACGAATGGCCGTGAGACGTTCTTCAATTATAAACGGACCAATGAGGTGGTCATCAATAATGCCACACCAAACATTCACCGAAAAACTATCTTGAAAATGGTATTCCCGAGTTTATCGTGGATTTTCAAGTGCCCAACTATGTGAATTCCTGGTGTTATTGATGCCGTTTCGGGTGAATGATGCTTCATCACTAAACAATATTATCCGACAAATCCTTTGATTTCTCAATATCCAGCGACTAAATTCAAGTCTTGAAGCGTAGTGGGCAGGTTTTAAAACTTGTACAGGTAAAATGTGGTACGGGTACAAACCGAAATTGTGTAAAGTTCTCCATACTCTCATCCGGCCTACGTTAAGTGTGTTGGCTATTCTTCGGACACTAATAGAAGGTTGAGCATCAATCGTATTAAATATTGCTTCTTCTTGAGCAAGTTCCTGTTGAACGGAACGTCTAGAATTATCTGTAAGAAACTTGTCTGTTTCTTTTAAACATCGATGGACATTGCTATAAACAGTTCTACAAGGCACTCTACGAGTGGGAAATTGTCGACGATATTCATCAACTGCCCCTCGTTCACTTCCACTACACAATCCATAAACAAAGTGAATGTCGGCGTATTCTTCATTTGAAAAAGTAAACATACCTTTAAGAGTATTTTAATGTAACACACGAAAATAAACACGCAAATAGTTATTTTTGATACAAGATAGCGAAATGACACTTTTGCATTCGAGAACGAAAGTTTAGAATGCAAAAGAATTTCGCTGTCGTGTATCAAACAACATTTTTTCGAAAACTGCGTATTCTAAAGTTATAAATTAATGAAAAGACCAAATTCTGTATAATGACATTTAGAATTCATTTAATGTTATGTCGAAAACTTAACGTCACATCGATTTAACCTCACATATTAAACAAATATACTATTATAAATTTGCATTTAAACATGAAATGAAATGATAAAACAATTAAATGTTGATTATTTTGTGTTTATAATTTGTTCATAACAATAAATTAACAATTAATAGTATCAAATTCGTTGATTGTCATAGCTGGACGTAAAAGTCTTTTGCGTCCTGGACGTAAAAGACTTTTACGTCCTGTTGACAAAAAACTATCGTTTTGACGGTCGCTAAGTACTACGCAAAAGTCAACTTTTAATACAAGTTTTCGAAAATTTAATTTTATTGACGTTTACTGTCACAATAAATAACAAATTATCATTCACAGCCACTTGGACTTTTTAATAATAACTAAATCAACAGCTTATAGCTCGGTTACGATAGCGTTTTGGGTGTATGTTCATTAGTCATTAGACATTTTTGACTTGAAATCACCCCAGCTATAACAGTCACGTCGTCAAAGCGATGACCTATGACACTTTTCTATAATATGATGTTGCTGCCCATAAATAATGTTTATGTAGTAATGTCATGAAGTAGCTCCGCATTATTACAATGATGTAAGTCACGGATGTTCTTGAAAGGCTTAGTGGAAGCATTAGTTGTGCCACACATGGAAAGAACAGGTAATGATGTATTACAAAGAGAAGTTTAAGAAAGTATAAAAAATTTCATTAAGTTTTCAAGCGATCAAACCATCACCGATAATCCAAAACCAAAACGCAGAAAATGTTATATACCGGGTGAGTCAGACCACCCGTACCAGGGATTTTTCTCAAAAACACGATTACCTAAGAAGTTGCAATAAAAAATATGATAATAAAATCGTATATGAAGAATTCAATGCACCAGTTTTTATCACGCTGGTAACACCGGAAGTTGGTGGTAATGACATCAACTTAAAAATTTTCCAAAATGTCATATGAATTAAGTTTTATCGTAGAGTAGATATTTTAAAAATAAATAACTTTTGCTTTAACTCTTCTTAGATTTAATGCAACGTTTAAGTGCTGTAGATAAAAATCTTAAGGGACCGACTGAAATTATTTGTCAATAATTTATGATTAAATGAGCTATGACTTCCAAAATTGACATTTATTATTTTATAATTAAAAAAATAAAAAAATACTACCTATGTACGTTTACCAACGAAGAAGCATTTGACATGGTAATGGTGTTGGGGAAAACTTTAGAAAAGCAGCGCGAAGATATGCGGCAAAATTTCCCGATCGTCCGCAACAGTAACGACAATAATTGGTCCACATTTCTTTGATACGGCTCTAAATGGAGAAACTTTGTACAAAATGTGCTGAACATCTATTATTTGGCCGATGTGTCCTTACTTGCAAGGACAACAATGTGGTATCAACACGAAGGGTGTCCTTCACATTTTGCAGTTGTTGCACTTAGGGTTATTGACCAGCATTATCCCATGCGTTGGATTGGTCGTGGCGGTCCAGTGAAATGGATCACCAGATTTAACTCCACTGGACTTTTTCCTGTGGAGCCGAATTAAAGATATAGTCTACATGGAACCGCCTACAACAAGAGAGAATATAAAACTCCGAATTCGTCGAGCATTCCAGTCCATTAGCGCTAACGAAATTCGTCGTGCATTTACTGCTGTAAGGAGGCGAGCAAGAAGGTGTGTGGCTGTTAATGGTAACGTTTTTGAACGTTAAAGTTTCTTTACGTTCGTTTTTGTTCTTAAAATTTTAAATAGGTTTGTTCTTAGGTAATCGCGTTTTTGAGAAAAATCCCTGGTACGGGTGGTCTGAATCACCCGGTATATTCCTGGAACAAAGACTGAAAAAGTGCTGTAATATGTTGGAAATGTAAAATAATTAATTTAACTTTGTAACAGTAAAATATACATTAGCGTTCCGTAAACTTTACCAGCAATAAAATATTTTTCTAACCGTTTGTAATTTTTTATATTATTTGTGGCAAATTAAAGCACAAATATGTTAAATCTACACTTGTATGTAAATTTATAATAATAAAGCTAGTTATCAACACAGTTTGAGTACCGGTTTATTTATTAAAGGAAATTGTTGTTGTTAAAATACGCACGGGCCGCCGAGGCCCCGCGCGTGTAAATGTGTGTGGTTATCAGGCCGTGCATCCTAGGGTTAAATCAATAGAGTCCATTCATATACTTTGTGTTCGCCGACAAGATCCTCTTTAATACTAATTGTAATTATTTTAAAATGACTTAAACTTATTAATAGTTTACATCTAGTAAAATATCTTAAAAGTAATAACTCTGTAGAGAACTCTGTAGTAATATTTAAAGATTCACAAAAACAATTTGTTACCTGAGATATTCATATGTGATTACCTCCATTTGAACAGTTAAAGTTGCGTGCGAGTGGCATTTTGATCGGCATCTCCACCGCTTTTCCTGCTACATTGCACAACACTAACACGTTTGATGCTGTCAAGATGACGAGCTTATCGAGCCAGAAATGACTTCACGTATACCTTTAATCTAGTAGATATTATATGATTCACACTTCCACTCTCCTTTTCGGTTTTACGTTATAAATAATCTCATATGAACTTATCTTTTCAAATAGTACTTCAATATATACAGTCAACTCGGTATAGCTCCCTAAATTGATGAAGATCGCGTTAAATATTTAATTGAGCATCAGGTCCCCTCGTATATATTTTTTGTTGACAAAATGCCTGGAAGTAATAGCTCTAATTTTTCAAGTTTGTTGCTGCTACGCTTAACTCATCGGATACAGCTGTCTTCGATTCTCTCACTTAATGTTGCTTTTTGGACAGCTGCGGTTTGAGTGAAATGTGGTTTTAAGATCTGACATTATTAAAAGCATTGGTACCCTTAAATATTGACTACCTCTCATTATTTTATTTAACTTGTTCAGGAATTGGGTGCTTGATGTACCCGGATGATCTCAAGTAGCAAAGTTCTTCATCCCTTTTTTGTTTACTAATAAGTTATTATCAAAAGTTTGCACGGTAAATATTTCACATAAACGTTTTAATCCACTTTATATTTAAGTTGTTTGTAATAAAATAATAACTATATTCGATAAATAACCCATATTTTAACTCGAAATAAAAGGATTTTATGTAAATAAATATTTTGTATACGTTGAAACTTTTATTGTTTTATCGGGATTTCGATTGTTGCAATTTAATATTTATACGTTTTAAACAATTTATTAATATTTGAGTAACATTTAAATTTTGTTACAGTACCGCCAAAGAAAATTGTAATAGCCGATGAATCCGGAAACGAATTAACATCAGTAGTTGGACCATTTTCAGAAGGATCATCATTCACAGTAAAATGTGATGTTTTCGGTGGTAAGTAACAATTAATTTCGTGTTAAAACTCCCACAAATTTGGTATTGGTCTTGTCAAAATGACTTCGTTCGATGGGCTAACAGTTATCGATGGTGAGATAATTATACACTCCGGCGCACGTTGTGACAGACCGTTAAACCAATCACACGCACGCACACGTCGCGTACAACCCCAAGAGTAATTAGGGCCAGTGTTACCGTAACAATTACAAAATTACAATTACCGATGCAAATATCCGAATGCGTGCGTTCTGCTTGCTTTGGCGATACGAAAGATTATTGATTGTGGCAATCAAACACTCTCATGAGACCGTTTTAATGAGGAATCAATTCGAATTGTAACCTGGGTACCCTGTTGTATGGCACATATCATTTACACGGCCAATTACAAAGGGGTGGCTCAACGGATTAAAATTACGATCATTTCTAAACAACCCCAAATTACACAACTTAACGTTTTGAATTATTGACAAATCAAATTAGGTAACGCAAAATAAAAATCTGTTAAATTGGATTACTTTTCCAAGATTATATTAACTTTTTGAGTTTGTAATATTTAATTTTTACTAGTTTTTCGTGTATAATCCAGGCGAGTCGAGTTGATTAAAAAAAAATTTAAAGTTTGACTAAAAACATATTAAAAGTTTAATAATACGGTAACCAAGAAGTTGTCGTCAACTTTGCCTTTTACTAACACGACGAGTTCGTTGAATTAGATAATCGGACCAGTAGTACGTCGAAAAAGTCAAAGCTTGACGGGAATTAATCCGAAGTTTCGCATTAAAATTCAGATAGGTTCTGCCGAGAACGACCGGCAATCCCATGTTTGCGCCGTAAATCTTGGAATTAATTCAAAGTCAGACCGCCGCTGCTACCGGCGAGCTTTTCCTCGGAAGGTAGTCGTCGTCATATGAAAGCCGTCTCCTGGATCTCTCTCGCGCCCCCGATCTAAATTGAAGTACGAAATATGTGAGGAAGAAAGACGACTTGGCTGGGGTAGTGAGACGTAGACGTCTCGGTTTCCGTTTCCTCGCTATCCGGAATTAATTCGAAAGGGACATCACCCGATCTCTGACAATTTAAAACGGAAAAGCAGTTCAGATCTTTCATTCATGTTGTAATGTAAAAGAAATTTAAAAATTTCACACTCAACATTTATAAGTATTCAATACATATAAGTATTCATTGCAAGGGAAAGAATGTTAAGACGTGTTGATCTACAACTTAACTAACGAGACGATTCTGTTCAACATTAAAGCAAGTAAAATTAAAACCTCCTTACATAATACTCTTAAAGATCTTGAAAAAATTACATGAAGGTCACATAGATGAAAACCAATCAACACAATTAAAATCTTCCTATTCGGAAGCTTCGGGGATGTTGTGAATGCTGAAAAGAGTGTGCTACATAAATAAAAAATCGCCCAGTCCAGAAAGAAAAGATTCATGAATGGCACTAAAATATAGTCATTAATTTACAACCAATTCAACTCGCACGGCAGGAATTTGGATCATCAGATATCGCTCGAACATAACGAATATATCGAGTGGATACACCAAGACAATCCAATGAAATGAGATGATAATTTTTCAGTATATCAAGGAATCAAGAAATACTTGATGAATGAGCAGCTCTATATGTCAATGCGTGAAGATTATATTGTAGAAACAAAAATGCTCTGAGAGTTAAACTGTGACAATAAACAATGTTCATTGTAACGGTTCATAATGAAGCACAAATACATAATCAATCATTGAAACTTAGCTATGACTGTGTTTTAAGTACAAAGCGAAAATTCGTAAAATCGTTAAATTGAGTTATAAAAACTGATTACAACTCATAAACTGAAAACGCGAAAAGAAAAGATTAACCATAAAACTATTCGTAATCAACCAAAAATGCATCATCTTCTACCAATTCAATCTTCTATTTCTATGTAAACCTCAAATTTATATGAAATAGTTAAAAATGATGATTTTTTTAATTATTCGAATTGCATAACAATGTTTTATAATGAATTATAAATACATTATTCATCACCATAGCTAAATACGGTCATAGTTCAAGGTGTAAAGTAAAAATTCCGAAATTTATAATTGCACAATTTTTATCAAAACTTGGAAACTTGCAATGTTTATATTTCATTAATGTACCAAAATCAATTCGTAAAACATTCATCGATAAATGATGGAATATTAAATTTCAACAGAAAAATAAAAAAAATATGGCTGTATTTTCATGATAAAGTATACCTGAATACTCTTGACACGATTTTGTGATTTTCATGTGTTTGAAGAAAATCAACTGGGTCCATAGTTTCGGAGTTACTTCAAATTTTGATCATTAATCATTCGATGTCCAGGACAAGCTTAACCATATTGCAGAAAAAACTGACATAAAATTGTAAAAATTAAAACAACGTTAAGAATATTGACCTGGTTGGGTTGGGTTGGGATGAATATTAGGTATTCTTTTTTAAGTGTCAATCATGCCAAGAAACCCTTGAAGCTGCGTTAAAAAAGATTACTGAAGCTGATTGATCTTTATGTCGTGCCTCCAGTACGAATATGTAACAGGTAATCTCTCATCACATGTCATAGACATTGTCTCAGAAGAATGTAGAATAAATAACATAGCCTCTGTTTTTCATCTAAAAAGCTCCACTAACCTTACTCAACCTTTGGATGTTTCTGGTTGTTTCGAACATTCAAGCTAGCATTGATATCGGTTATAATCAACTAGAAAAAAAGAGGTATTGATGATTCTGTGGTCTACGATCTAATAAAGTAAAACGAGCGTTGTAGCAGTTAATGAAGAAATTACAATGAAGTACTTCGAACCAAAAAACAAGGAAAGTCTACATATTCAACTAAAAAAGTATTTAAAGTTTCATACAAAACAACGTTGTTTAATTTCTTAACTTTGAAGAAAGGGTGATCGTTAAATACATCACAAAAGAGAACACGATTATGGGAAATCTCTATTAATGGCTGAACGCGGCTGAAATCGCTTCTAAAGAAACTGGTATCATCAAATTTTGTCTATTAATGACAAATTAACAGTACTTGAGGTGTAAGAACTTATTCATTAGAGATATGTTAGATAAGATGCTTCGTAAATTGAAGCTAAATTGTTAAAAAGAAAACGGTGACTTGCTGCTGTGGTTTACAATAGGAACCGCAAGTAGAAAGAGGGGAGGATAGCCCTCTTTCTACTTGCAGCTAAAACTAAGTATCGACAAATGTCACCGAAACCGTTTATCACGCTCGTTTTTTGCCATACCGAGTTTTATTCTAGTTTTCCCTGATTTCTAACGTTTCCGATATAAAATCTTACATCTCGACCATCCTGAGTTTCATTGACTTCGAATAGATTAATGTGACACCAAGGCTACCTTAAATAAGCATTACTAATTGCTATTAAAAGCCACATAACTGGGGCTTCAAATTAAAATTTACTTGCAGTTTTAAAGGTTACAACCATGCCTCTAAGATTTGTAGTGGCAACAGCAATCAAAATATGGCTGATTAGGAAAAGCTGACAATATTGTGATATGGCTAACAAGGTTGGTACCTAGAAATGTGAATCATATTATCTATTTTGTTATGTTTTTCACCTTTATACCTTGACACTGCATAAACCAATTACAAACTGCCAAGTTCCAGTCAAAAGGACAATGTTTATTTCATGAAATATTGTACTTGACCTATAATAGTCGCTTTGGTTTGGTCAACNATGTAGAAACAAAAATGATCTGAGAGCTAAACTGTGACAATAAACAATGTTTATTGTAATTGTTCATAATGAAGCACAAATACATAATCAATCATTGAAACTTAAGCTATGACTGTGTTTTAAGTACAAAGCGAAAATTCGTAAAATCGTTAAATTGAGTTATAAAAACTGATTACAACTCATAAACTGAAAACGCGAAAAGAAAAGATTAACCATAAAACTATTCGTAATCAACCAAAAATGCATCATCTTCTACCAATTCAATCTTCTATTTCTATGTAAACCTCAAATTTATATGAAATAGTTAAAAATGATGATTTTTTTAATTATTCGAATTGCATAACAATGTTTTATAATGAATTATAAATACATTATTCATCACCATAGCTAAATACGGTCATAGTTCAAGGTGTAAAGTAAAAATTCCGAAATTTATAATTGCACAATTTTTATCAAAACTTGGAAACTTGCAATGTTTATATTTCATTGATGTACCAAAAACACTTCGTAAAACATTCATCGATAAATGATGGAATATTTTCAGGATAAAGTGTACCTGAATACTCTTGATACCGTCATTTGGGGTGAAATTTATTTACAGAAGTGAGATTGCTCACCATTATTAATGCGAAACTATTAGTGCGATTGCGACATTGTACTTAAAATGAAAATAGCGCCTGAATGTGCAACCGGTTTTTATTAAAAAGCTGAGCATCTCGAACTTTGTCGGGAAAATTAAAATCTAAGCAACATTCATAAACTTTATTTATTGTGTATGATATCCACGAGTTTGTGATTTTCATGTTTTTGAAGGAAATCAACTGGGTCCATAGTTTAGGAGTTATTTCAAAAAAAGTGCTCATTGATCATTCGATCAATTCAAGGCAAGCTTAACCATATTGCAGAAAAATCTGACATAAAATTGTAAAAATTAAAACAACGTTAAGAATATTGATCTGGTTGTTGACTATTGAACAGATGAATATTAGGTATTCTTTTTTAAGTGTCAATCATGCCAAGAAACCCTTGAAGCTGCATTAAAAAAGATTACTGAAGCTGATTGATCTTTATGTCGTGCCTCCAGTACGAATATGTAACAGGTAATCTCTCATCACATGTCATAGACATTGTCTCAGAAGAATGTAGAATAAATAACATAGCCTCTGTTTTTCATCTAAAAAGCTCCACTAACCTTACTCAACCTTTGGATGTTTCTGGTTGTTTCGAACATTCAAGCTAGCATTGATATCGGTTATAATCAACT